TTGAACTACCAGATGTGGGTTCTGGGGATGGAATTCTGGTCCTTTGGAAGAGCAGTATGTGAGTCCCTTCTAATTGCTGCGGCATCCCTTCAGCCCCTCACCAGTCTAGCTTAATTAAAGGAATGCTAACGCTTCCCAGTTACACAGTCACATGAAACATCATTAGCTGTCTTCTGAACCAGACTCAGATGATTGCCCCCAGTTATGGAACAGGGATGTCGAGATTAAGGAGGGTTAGATTACTCAGGTAAAGGAGGAAGAGAACCTAGGCTTTAAGGATGGTGTATATTCTGTTTGCCAAGCTACATTCAAGACTGTCGATATCAGAGCTTGTTGACATTTTAACTGATTTCTATGAGTTTGTTTTGAAAGCTTTATATGACACAGACGTCAGGGTTCAAAGATAACATCAGTATCGTATATAACCCACTTCAGCACGGCAGATATACTCTACGTCATTCAGTGGTTTAGTCACTGAAACAAATGATTACACGCTTGCCTGATTTCCAGGGTTGTACAAGACTCTCTACCCAGCTCTTCCACACCTGTTGTTGCATAACAACTCATCCCAACTTAGTGTCATAAAACAATTATTTAAACCTGGATTATCCCAGTTTCTGTGGCACAGGAATTTGGGAGCAATTTAGCTGAGTGACTCTGACTCAGAGTTCATCTTGTGGTTATTGTTAAGACGTTGGCCAATGATGTGTCCTGGTGCTTGAGGATTAACTGGTGGATCTGCTTTTAGGATTATCGGTATGGTTGCTGGCCGTTCGGCTTACTTACTTACTTACTTACTGAGGTGGCCTCTTAGTACGTTGCCTCAGTGTTGTAACTATCGTGCATTAGTTCCAGAACAGAAAGAAAGCTGGCGTACTGTGTATAAACTGCTCTGAGTAGTCCTACCACATTGTTTTATTCTCCTATTCAGGAAAACAAGTCATTAAGTACATTCCAATGTAAAGAGAGGAATTAAGTCACACCTGTGAAAGAAGCACTACATAATATGTAGATGTATTTTTCAATTTCTTCATGAGTGGATATAAGTTAAATTAGAATATCAACTTAAATATTAAAAAATCACTTTTAATCTACTTATGTATTTTTACTTAATTTATTTACTTAATTATTTTTTTGAGAGAAGTTCTCAAAAATATGTGGTCCTGTCTGACCTGGAACTCCCTATATAGACCAGGCTGGCCTCAAACTCACAGAAATACACCTTCCTTTGCCTCTTGAATGCTGGGATTAAGAGTGTGTGTGCCTGACTAGAAATAACCTAAGGGAGATTCTGCCACGACAGAAATAGCCTAAAAGAGGAAATGCTACTTTGGTTTATGACTTTAGAGTGTTTAGTCCATGGTTGCCTGGCCTCACGTGCTCTACAATAGGAGTGTGCGTTAGAGAATGTTTGTCATTTTTGTTTGGACTATGAAAACTAGAGGGCAAAAGAAGGGGTCAGGTAGAGTTATATCCCCCAAAGACACATCCCCAGCATCCTACTTCCTTCAAAGGTTCTACCGCCTCACCATAATGCTGTGACATTATGAGCCCATCAAGGGATCAGAGCTGTCAGCACCTAATCGCCTGATGGAATGACATAGAGGATATGCTCAGGAGTGTGCTCCGGTAATCTCCCCCAAGTTCCTTCAGCCAATCAAAGTTACCAGCACAACATCCCTGTTATGAGGAAAGGGATAAGTGTAGGTTAGAGTGCTGAAAGGACATTTCGTCCATAAAGCTTTTCTTATGCTCGAGAGACACTGACTTTCACTGATGAACACATGGCCAGCCATAACTTACAACAGTCTGAGGAGGTAACCAAATTTATCTGGATACATTGGCCCTGCCAGTAGTCATGACTCTGCTAGAGAGGTAAAAAGGATATTGCGTAGACAACCTTTAATGTCTGTCTTCTTATGCCAAGGAGCTTCGGCACACATTATTCTGCTCCCGAGAGCTTTGACACAGACGTTTTTTTCAGACATTAAATACCAGCTGGGATTTATCTATGTTTTAAATGAAGGAGTCCAGTCAGCTTTGAGCCCAAATATGAAGTTTTAAAAGTTGTCATTTTTTTTTTTCTAGTTACTAATACTGAAAAATTAGCTGACATGAGTATCATTTCTAGGGATAATTCCAAGGAGATAACTGCATGGTTGTACAAAGGAAAGTTCATCAAAGAGTTGTTTATAATAGTAAGGACTTGGGATGTATCACTGCAGGATAAAAGAATTATATGTCAAATACATAATGAGCTAGCATGTGCTCTTGTGGGTTTTTATTTTAGTTTTAGAGAAATATCTAAAAGAATAGAAGCAGAAATTTTAGAATTATTATCTCTAGATTATGAGATAATTTCATCTCATATCTGCACAACTTATCTGTATTTTTGTTTCAATTGGTTTACATGTTTTGAATGTTTGAATGTGCATGTATTGTTTTCATAAAAACGACTCTTTTAAAAAACTAAGGAAGGGAGTGGTCATTTGATCAATATTGTTTCTATCTGCATTCCTTTTTGCCTGTAATTCTCTTAGATATGACTATGACTGAACTTAGAATTTATCCTTGGGTTTGTTTTTCCTTATCTTTGCTAAAATGATGTTGTTCTTTAGCTCTTATAACTTTTAATAGAATTAGGGTCTTGTAGAATCCTGAGGTCTGTTTTGTTTTTAGAATACTTTGATTTGTAGATGGTTCTCTTTTCCTTTTACCACTGGCAAAATCATTTTGTGGAAAACTGCTGGGGGCTGTTAAAGCTGAGCAGGGGTTGAGGAAAGAGAAAGACGGTGTTAAGGGTGCCTGGAAGAGAAAGAAGTTGGAGGGCCATAGACCAGTGAACAGGCACTTAATTGGATATTAAGATACCCACTCTCCTCTTCTCTTCTGGCCTGAGCCCTACTAGTAATCACTCTGTCCTCAATTTTCTCATCTAAAAGAGAGAGAAAGAGAAATAGAGAGAGAGACCTTTGAATTAAAATCACAAACTTTGCTTCAAGTTTTAAACTTCCTTTGAAAAAAAAATTTTTTTTTAATTTATTGGTGCTGTCTGTTCTAGCAAATGGTACTAACGCTGAACCCAATTAAATTACAGGCAAATTAACAACAGCAGCCAACGTTCACTGTTTATTGTTCTTCTCAGACATGCTGTTCAGTCACTTATTCAAATTACTAAGTGAATGAATAGGTCAGCACCTAGATCCCAGCCTCTTTTGAAGGTGGCTTGTCCTCTTCAGTCTCCATTATCATGCCCTCACAAATGGCTCAATCCATTCTTGTGACTAATGGATTAATGAATGAATGGGTTATTCAGAGACTGCCATAAAAGTGAATTTGGCTAGGTTTCCTGTAAGTTTTCTGTTTCCTAGCGTTGATATCCTGTTGCTTCAGTTCAGGACTTGCAAACAAAAATGTTGGAAGGCCATGGATCAGAGAAGGACACTTACCTGGAAAAGTTCCTTGATCTTTTGACTAGAATCATGGCTGAGGCAGAAAATGGACTCAGACACAGTTTAAGCGTCTTATTGATTCAACCCCTCACTTTTATTAGCTATGTCCTGGTGTGCTGAGAACCGTCTAAATTGAGCATTTATCAAACAATGCATAGCTTTTCAGTTCCGGGCCTGGCTTTGTGGATGATGATGGTTGGGGTCAGTCGTCTCTAGATCTTACTTCCGCTCCCTGCTGCCTCAACAGGTGGCAGCCCACTTCCTTTGTGGGAAAGATAACTTCCTGGTTCACAGAACCTTTGCCCGTAAAGGGCAGTTTTGAGAAGCTCTTAAGTACTTGCCCGGGGCAGGGCAGAGGTAAAGCGCCACACATGAATTCCTCCAAGAGGCTCTCCGTTACCACTCTCTGGGTTTTCTCTTCTTCTGAGGCACAGGTCTGGTTACAGGGCACCCTTCTGCGTACTTCATTACGCCACATTTCTTGTCCCTAAGGACAGAGAACTACTGAGAGGAAATGAAGGGAAAATAACGAGGGGACAAAGGTTGGGTGAGAGATCAGCGCGGCGTCAGGGTTTGTTCGGCAGACACCAGTTCGTAAGGCACCTCTCTCTAACTCGCAGCCCCTGCCAATTTCGCTTTCCGCTTCCCCAGAGAATAAGCTCCAGCAGCACCCGGCTTCACCAGAAGGGGGCTGAACCTCCACCGGGCGCCCGGGGAAGTCGGGGCTTCCCAGCGCCCTGCACAAGGGGGCGGGGCGAGCTCCCGGCGCCCAATCCCGGCATCCGCACGTCGCCGCGTCCCCGCCCACGCCGCCCAGGCCCCGCCCTTCCCTGGGGCTGGTGCGGCGGCCGCGACGTCAGCCTCCCCGAGACCCCTGGGTGGCGGCTGCGCCGTAGGCGGGCCGCGCGGCGCCGAGGGGGCGGAGCGAGCGGCGGGAGCGAGCGGCGGGAGCGCGCGCCGGGCCCGCCTCGGCCGCCGCCGCCGGGGGATGATCTGGGCGGCCGCGGGCGGCCCTGGCTAGCGGCCCGTGCCC